CATATTGGACATTGAGGAAGACTCCGTTTCATTCTTTCTGATTTCTGTAGCATCTTATTAGAAAAATGTGCCTTAAAATATGAAAGAGCACGTTGTCCTACACATCTTCATGGCTTTGAGCCTGGAGGTTCTACCTCCTGGATCAAATGATTTTTATAGATCGCACTGGGTGCATCTCAGATCTCTCACCTGGAAAGTTCAGGTAAGAACCAACTCCCCAGCATCCTTCTTGGGTGTCATTTGAAGGTCAATAGCGAAGATGAGCACCAAAGAAATGATTAATGAAAAAGTAACTCAACTTATTGACATATGCTTGGTTTTAGATAAGAATGGCTTGTGAACTCTTTAATTTGTCTTTTCTTGATCAGGTCTGAAAATTTTTCTTCTTTGGTATCCACCAATGTTGAAAATCCTTTTCTTGTCTTAAGTATTAGAATTTCTGAACAGGTAGGAAATTATCTTCCGACCTGAGAGCTCCTATCCCTTGAAACCAGGTAAGTTTCCTCTCCAAGGACAATGCAGCAGATACTTTGAATGAAACACAAAAAGCTACGTGGCAACGTAGTAAGTGTGAAGGAAGTGTTTTAAATCTTTTATGTCTACTACTTATTCAGATCTCTCAATTATCTATACTAGCATTACCCTTATTTTTCAGTTAAAGAAACTAAGGAACAGGGAATCAGTTACCCAAACTCACACAGCAAGTAAGACCTAGAGCTAGGATTGGGCCCTGTATTAATGGTCTGTACCATTCCCTATAAGGACAGCTTTTACAGTGTCTTTCCACAATTTTAAGGTTTTGCTTCTCACATTTGCATTATGATTAATTGGGTGTGGTATGGTTTAGGTATCTATGTCTATGAATAACTCATCTTCTCAGTTCCATTTTTTGACACACAAATATAATATTTCTATACATGTATGAGATGATTTCTGATCCCTCTAAGTCATTGCTTGGTCTGTATGTTTGTGTCCACCCAAAATTCATGTTGAAATCCTAACTTCACGATGTAATGGTGTGAGGAGGTGGAGCTTTGGGAGGAGATTAGGTCATGAAAGTGAGGCTGATTTGTACCACTTAAAGGCACTGGAGAGAGGCAGCCATCTGTGAACCAGGAAGTGAGCCTGCACCAGACACCAGTCTTCTAGCACCTTGACCTTGGGCTCCCCTGGTTCCAGAACTGTGAGCAAAACAGGTCTGTTGTCTGCAAGTCATGCTGCTTCTAATATTTTCTTTTCTTATAGCAGCCTGAGTGAACTAAGATAGTTACAGATGATTCATTCTTACTAACTGCTGAATATCATCCCATCATGTGACTATAACACACTTTGCTTACCCATTGTACTACGGATGGGCACTTGGGTTTTATCTGTGTTTGACTATGGCCACGAACATTCTTATAAATGTCTCTGTAAACACAGGTATACCCACACCTGCTGAGTGTTCCCTGAGGGGTAGAGTTTCTGGGTCACAGGGTACAGGTATGTCTCAGCTCTAACAGATCCTGCCTACCAGTTTTCGAAGGTGGTCAGACAATTTTACACAGGTACCGGTCATATATAAGGGTTGTAGTTGTCTCCTGTTCTTGCCCACACTTCATTTTAGCCATTCTCATGAGTGTAGAGAATTGTGGTCTTTGTTGACATTTTCTTGTTGACTGGAATTATCCATAATTTTACCAGTTTTCTATTGGATTGATTGACTTTCAAAAAAATTGCTTTATGGAAGTTCTTTATATAATTTAGATATGGGTCCTCTATTGGATACATGTATTTCAACTATAGTCTTCCTCTTCAGTGACTTAACCGTTTGCTCTAAAAGTGTCTCTGAGGAACAAAACCTCTGTTACAATGTGTTCTAGTTTACTTAATGCTTATCCTTTATTATCATGTTTTATGTTAGTTACATAAATATTTGGCTACTTCCAAAGATTTTTTTTCAAGCCACAAGTTTTATTGTTCATAGGCTGAACTTTATGAATCTACTCACATTCAGCTTACAAAAAAGGTGGCTTCAAATGCCTCAGCCTAACACATGAAACCTATGACCTACCTGGAATTGTTTTCATGTTTGGTGGATCAGGATTTCTCTCCTTATAGTAAATTGCCCCTCTCTAAGCTTTTCTAAGTCAGACGATCTTACTGGTTTATTTAGTTTTATGCCAACACCGCAGAAACTTATTCACCACAGCTTTATGGTAATGGGACTTTTATAAATAAGTTTCAGTTTGTTCCGTTTGCTCTTAACCTTAGAGTTTCCTGTTTTCCAGTTATTGCTTATATGTCTTGATGCTATTCCGTGATGCCTTCAAGTTTAGAATTGTTGTTTTCTTGGTAAGCTGAATTTTATATTGAAATACTATTGTTATAGTGTCTAAAATGAAAATGGCTCTTTGGATATTTTGGGGGCCTATTTGCCTGGTATGTCTTTATTTGTCATGGTAATTTTATTATCCTCTTGTCCATGCCTTGAATTTATCTCTTGTAGTTGAAATATAGCTGTTTTTGATCCAACCTGTTTAAATATGGGCACTTGACCCATTAATATTATTATTGATGTATTTAGACTTGGTTTCTTAATCCATAATGGATTATTTCTTATCCTAATTGCCCTTCTAATTTTTTTCTAAGTGTTCTGAGGTGATATTCCCCAAGACCTGCTGGCACAGGCCCACCCAATAATACTTATCATTCCCAATATGCCTTCACCTATGTAACCAGAGCCTACGTGACTGGCTTAGGTGACGAGAGTTACACGAAATAAGTGCACAATCAAGCGGAAAGTACCAGTGGTACCAGGGAGACACCAAACTGGCCGTGAACTAGGTGAAGTTACCTTGATTCTCCCCGGATTTCCTTTCCTTCTAGCTCAGATTTCTGAAAATTTCCATAGGAAATCAATGCCCAGATGAGTTTTCATCAATCACTTAAATACAGCTTTTAAAGCTTAAAGAAAGTTGTAAAAGTTTTTTTTTTTTTTTCTGGAGAAGCTTAAATGTAATTTAGCTGCAAAGAGGAAAGATTCTGCAAACTTTCAACCTAACCTTGCCACGTGTTAGGTTATGCACAGAAATGGGAGTGTTACTTCTTCCTTCCACTAGATGGCAGTGCTCCCCCGGAAACCAGGTCCGCTCTCCAGGCTCCCTTGCCCTGCAGGGCCTGCGGCTCCCCAGTTGCTTCCCCTCAAGAAGCCGGAAGAGAAGTGGCGCAAGCTTCTACCTACGCGGAGGAAGGTGCGAGCCTCGTGATGAAGACAGAACTGGAGAAGAGGAGTGGATTGAGAGAAGGAGTAAGGAGGGTATCCTTTCAGGCAGAGACCCTCCAGGGAGACAGGAATCAGGAGCCGTCTGAGGAAGTGCCTTTGGGTTGGGGAGTGGAGCTTTTCACCCATTGGTCTTGAAAAGAGCCTGAATTGTAATCAGCCGCATCGCTTGGGATCCGCGCAGGACCCAGCTAGGCGGTAATTTACCTTACAAGGCCAACTTGACTGAATGTTTTCTTTTAGATATGGAGACGATTCCATGTTCAGAGATCGTGCGCGTGCCTTGCTGGGTGCACGGGGGCCCTGAGCAGGTGCTGAGGGAGCGCTGTTAGGTGGAAGGTTGTGCGATCATATTAACTCACCCAAAACGATACTGCTGCCTCCCTGTCTACGAAATCTCTGGAACTCAAATTACACTTTCTTTTTTAAACTTTTAAAAAATTTTGGCCGGGCGTGGTGGCCCGCGCCTGTAATCCCAGCACTCAGGAGGCTGAGGCAGGAGGATCGCTGTGCGTTCGAGACCAGCTTGTGCTACATAGTGAGTTCCAGGTCAGTCTCAACAACATAGTAAGACCCTGTCTGAAAAAGAAAAATCTTATTGATACTTTTTTAGAATACAGTGCAGTTACACTCATCGTTGGGATCTGGTGCCCTTGCATGACAGATCTTGATTCTCAATTTTTCCCCATGCCCCTGCCCTCCCTTCACCCCCTACACCCTCCCCTATTTATGGAGACTTTGTTTCCATTTTCAAATTACACTTTCTAATTAAAACGATCTACATGATGGTTATATTTCTGAGTTAACCCATAATATCAATTGCTAATTTATCATCTGGGTAATCTGTTATACACAAATATAAATATGAAGAAAAATATGATAATCTTCCCATCCCCTACCCCCAGACACAACCACTATTGATGTTTTGGTGCCTGTTTTTCTCTCGGAGTGACAAAAAAACATTTTGTCATGATTTTTAATTATCAGGAGCAATTTCCTTTCACGAATAAAAATTCCTGTAATGTGTAAACTGTGGGTTGATGGCCTGATTTGCTGAGCTTGGTTCCTTTATCTGCACGGCCATCCTGCATTGCTGTCTTATCCATACGTGTGACAGCACTCGTGGTGTGTTTGGCACCATGGTACCAATGAGAACGCCTGGTAATAAGTATCGGCTTCCTTGTTGCAATTGCCGTTCACTTCAACTTTCCCAATAAAATTATTATTAAAAGTTTGGAGCACATAAAGAACCGTATATAAGACCATAAAAATCACATATAACCCCAGCACCCAGCCAGAGCTGACTCCCCAGAAATGACCCAGCATGGTGATTTCATGGCTGTTAATCCGAATGGGGACCCCAAATGGGGTCATACTACATAGTTTTGTGTTCTGCTTTCTGATTTATCTGAATCTCAACAAAACAAAACAACGAAAACCTGACATTATTGGCTGAGAAATGTTCTACTTTATAGATGGAGTTGACTGCTTTGGTCACTGGATGTGTGGGTGGAATCGGGTTCCCACACTGACGCACGGAAGAGAGGAGGAGCCAGGAGGTTGGGGAGAGCTGGGTATGGAAGGAAAAGACCTGGACTAGGATTTGAGAAACAAGCAGAAGGAGGAAATAGTAAGACTTGGAGACCGAGGGAATAAGGGATGCAGAGGGGAAGAGGCGGTCTCCTAGGGTTCCAGGAGGCCACCTCCTTTGAAAAGCCATCTTGGCCCTAACACTTACGGTCTCCGATCTCCGTTGTTAGAAGCACAGCTGGAGAGTAGAGTAGGCCAGAGAGATCTCCATCCAGTCTGTTTTTATCCATGAGAGACCAGGCCTTCATCACTGCTACTTGGCTGTAGACACTCGGTATGTTTTTTTTTTTTTTCTCTCTCTCTCTCTCTTTTTAATTAGTACCTTTGCAGGACGTAAGGATCACAGTCATCGTGGAAAGCCGGGACACATAGGCCACACATCTTAATTCTTTTCTTTAATCTGCTCCCCTCCCATCTCTTGGTCTCCTTCCCCTTCACAATCAGCGTTTCCTCTTTGTGCAGCAGCTCTAAACATCACAAAACCCGGGGGAAGGGATTACTGCTGATGGTTGCAGGGAGAGGCCCATTTGGCTGACACGTAGGGCCCGGGGTCTAGGGCTTGCTGGTGGGTTCTGACCAGACTGAGGCGCCCCTGGTCCTGGGCACCTCCCGCAAGGCAAACGTTGAGGCCAAAGGCCAAGCCAGGTGAGCCCTGGAGCCCCGCGGAGTCAGGAGTGTGTGCCTCCCCCGTCCGCTTCTCTGTTCCCACGCTTCCGGGGTGAGCAGTAGCTGTAGCCCCGTAACACTGGTGTAAGAGATCAATGTTTTCATTGTAAACAGGAGGATAACTCAACTACTGATAGCACCTGGGAGGTGAATACAGACGTAGCCATCAGATCTGCCATCAACAGCTGGGAACAGGAAGGAGAAAACAGCACTGGCATTCAGGTGGCTTCCCCGCCTGTGCCCAAGGCTTTGTTTGTTTCCTGCTGCAATTTCTCTTGCAGCTCTAGCTTGGTTGTGGACGCTGAGCTGGGAAAAGCAGGCAAAGCCGAGCCCTCGGCAGATGGACAGAGGGCTCCATGCCAAGCTGGCTGGTGAGCTGGTCCTTCCCGGGCTCTGCCTTCCTTCTTCTGAGGGCTGTGGGCCTCACTTCCGCTTTATTTTTGCCCCTTGTTTTATGCCCCAGTGCTGTCAGTATGGTTGCAATCACAGACAATTACTCAGTTCCACTTTTCCCCAAAGACCTTCGTAGTCAGCCGCTCGATCCCACCGTGAACCAGTTAATCCCAAACGCAGATTTCCAAGGGGGGCCCATCCACAGCCACACTTCTTTGTGAAATGCTGCTATGATTTTCTGTCATTTGATGGCTCTGGAAATAGTGGGAGAGATGTCAGAAGTGCAATGCATCAGTTGTTTCAATGATGTATTTCTGGGATATTCAGGTCTCTGACTAGGGTGCTAAACCAAACATGCAGAGGGCCACTGTGTGCAGCTGTGGGGCACACAGGCCTGTGCACTGAAGTCTCCACACTCCCTCTGCTGCTTGCACTTAGAAATGCAGGAACTGGACGTGGTGGTGTACACCTGTAACCCCAGAGCTCTGGGAGGCTGAGACAGGAGGATCTCACGTTTGAGCCAAGTCAGGGTAACTTAGCAACTTAGTGAGACTGAGGTATCTTAGTGTGAAAGCCCTGGGTTCAATTCCCAGTACTGAAGGGGAAAGAAAAAGCAGAAAATGTGTTTAGAGACATCTTCTTCCCATCACAAAATTATTCTCTACTTTGTTACCAGAGGTGGATCATCACAGATCAAGATTAAAATGTGTTCTGAAACTAGAAGGGGAATAGCTGGGTTGAATGAAATTTCTAGTTTTATTTTTCTCCTCTAAAAAAAATTTTTTTTTCTTGGTACCAGGGATCGAACTCGGGTCCTTGCGCTTGCGAGGGAGGCGGTGGGTCCCTTGAATAAGCCACATATTGCTCTCTCCTGCACCTTGCTCGTCCTTCCCTTGGGGCCAGAGAACTACGGAGCGAAACGTGAGCCAAAATGAACTTCTCTTTCCTTTACTAGTGTTGGGTACGGCATTTGTCCCAGGGACAAGAAAAGTGACTAAGACAACACCGTAGCTGGGAGCACATGTTTTAGGGCCAAACCATTGCTGGAGTCGAACTCCAACAGAAAGCTGTTGCCCTCTGGGGTACTCAGGCCCCAGCTCCAACCCGACTCCCTCTCTGCTCCGTGTCACTGGTCTTTAGGAAGCCCCAGTGGTCTGTGTCTTCTCCTGCAGGTCTTGCCGGGAGCCTTTCCCATCCTAAAAACCCTGCATTATCTCCCGGGGAGGCGGGATGTGTCCAGGAATGAGCACAGCTTTGGGGTGCGGGTAGGCTGACCTCATCCTGCTGGCGCCCGGAGGTCACGCCTCCTTCCACCTCAGTGTCATTCACAGACCACGTCTGGGGGCCTAGAGAGTCCCATGAGATAACTGGAGCGGGACAGCTGGCGGGATGCTTGGCCATCCTTAGCAGGTACAAAGTAAAATCTTTTTGCAGCCTTCTAGAGTGGATCTAACCTGATTTGCATGACCTTGGGCAAAGGTTGATTTCTCTCCACCTGTGTTCCCACGTGTAAAATGGGTTCATTAGCCTCCTGAAGACAGCCAAAGTGTAAATGATAGGGCATGAAATGAATTGTGCACATATATCTTTTAATGCTTGTTTTTTTAACATTAGCTTGGTAACAAAGGAAATACTGTGCTCCCACCAATGAAGACACCAAGGCCCAAGTAGGTTAAAGTGAAAACATACAGGGAGAATGTGACCCAAGTATAACTCTCATGCTGTTTTCAAATATTATACTGATATGCTAATACTCAAATGTTTATTAGTATTCTCAAATACCGTATTATAACACTAATCTTCACATATTATTATTACCATCATACCCAAATATTATACTAAAGGAGCATCATTATTTGTTTTGTAGTCTCTATCTAGAATGCCCCCCAAGCTCTCGTGTGTTGAGAGGTGGGTTCTCCTCCTTCTGGTAGGTGACTGGAGCAAGGGGCGCTGTACACGTCAGTGGACTGATTCCCTGATGAGTCCATAGATAAATGTGCTATTAGCAGGCGAGGCCTGCTTGGAAGGTTATGCTCCTGGGCTGTGCCTTTGGTTTGGCTTGGCTTGGTTTTGGTGGTTCCAGGGATCGAACTCAGGACCTCACACTTGCAAGGTAGGCAATGGTGCCACTGAGCCAAATCCCCAGCCACTGGGATGTGCCTTCGAGGGATATAACTTTCTTGGCTCCTGTCTTTGTTCACTTCTTCCTGGCTGTCATGAGGTGAGCAGCTCTTCCTCCGCCAGTACCTTCCACTCTGCTGTTTCTGCTTTGGAGCCAGTTACCCATGGACTGAATCTCTCTAAACCGTGAGGCAGATTAATCTGTCCTCCTTTCATTTGTGGGTATCACGTATATTGTGCCAGCTATGGGAAAGGTGAGTAATGCAACTCAAATAGTATAACAATGCCATTATACTAATGTGTGTGTGTGTGTGTGTGTGTGTGTAGTATACATTTAATACACATTATAATTATACTACTACCTTTAGAGCCTTTTATAGCTATTTCTTTTATTTGTCTTTTATTCCCAAGTTATGCCTCTGTGAGCAGGTATCTCTTACCATCTCACTGTGACCAGCCCTGATGTTTTAGGTGGACAGACTCCCCTTGTCTGCATTCTGCTGCTGTTGACCCAGGCAGGACAAGTTTTAACTTTTCTCTGAAGATTCTCTTGTGCACGAAGATTCTTTTGTGTACCCCAGGCTGCATGGTCCACTCCACTCCCACATTTTCTGATCCACTGGAGTACTTACAGGCAACACCATGGGTTTTCAAGTACGTTCACTGTCCAAGGATGGTTTCCTATGAATTCTTTAAGCTTATCAACTCTGAGGTTAGCAACCATGTGAAAAAAAAAAGGGCTTCATTAATAAACACAATTTTTTGCCTGACATTGGGCCCACTGAGCCTCAGTTTCTCACAGGAGAAAGTCAGTCCCTAAATTTACCACTTGTCTTCTTCACAGTCTAACATCCACATGACAGGAAAGGACCAAAGATTCAGAACTGGGTACCCATCAGGATAAACCATCGTGGGCAGATATATTTCAGAGCAAAAGTTAGAACTTGGGGTCTTGGCTTTTGAGAATTCACGGACGACAGAATCCTGCAAACATTTTCATACATAAGTGTTGTTTTATAGCTCAACTTGGCTTCTGTACATGGCACAGTCTTTTCTCTCTACTTTGAAAAAAATGTGCATTTAAAAAAATGGTCTTATGACTGTATGAAAACTCACTTGTTTTTCATAAAGAAACATGAAAAATATGCAGACTTTATCTGTGAGCGAGCGATGCAAATGGCAGCGACTTTATATAATTAGCCGACATATTTTTAAATGAAATTTTGCCATGCCAGTGAGGCTTTGGCAAAATGCTCCATCCATATGTAGCCAGTTGCAATGCAAATTGGTTCAGTCCATTGGAAGACCAGGTAGCGATTTGGATCTAAGAACCATAAAAGTATTTATAGTTTTTGATCCAGTAATCCTGCTTCTTGGAATCTATCCTAGGCAAAGACTCCAAAAGAAGTTGAATACCATGTATTTGAAAATATTCACCCTAGACTTTATTTTTAGTATTGAAAATTTGGAAACAGGCTAATAATAAGTACCACTTGTATAAACTCTGCAATTCAGAAACAGCTGCCACACGCATCAGCTTCTTTGATTTTATGGTAACTGGGTGCTGGTGTCACCTCTTTGTAGATGAAGAGGCTCCTGTTCAGAGTGGTTAAGGGACACAGGTCACACTGGTTGGAGGTGGGGCTTTTTGATCCCAAAGGCTGGGCTACCCCACTTACAGTGCGACATCCCTTTCCACCTTCGTCCAGTAGCAGGGTAAAACTTAGCTATATGAACTTCATGACATGACTTCCAGTCAGGAAAACAATCATTACAAAAGCAACAGAGCGATATTTTAAAGTACTTGGCCAAAAATACCAATGTATAAAAAAGTCACAAATTAAATGTGATTATTATAAAAAGATAGCTCTAGGAGAGATTGGAAGGAAAAGGAAAAAATGAAAGCCATCGAGAACTTTTCTTTTAGTACCATACTGTGTTTGTATATTCATATTGCTGTGCACCATCGGACCCCATCAAGGTAAAACTCTTGAATAGAATCATAACTTTCTTAGGAAAAGTAATGTATACAGAAAATTGTTCTACTGGATTGAACTCACTTTGAGAGCACTAAACTGAAAATTCTGTAGACATGAAAGATGGCATTTCCTGGAGCTAGGAATCAAAGGATGGGCCAGTTCTGGTGGCAGAGGCTGGGCCCATAGTCTCCAGGCCCCAGTCTGGCTGTTTCATCTCTGTGACACTTGGGAAGCCAACCTTGTGTGCAGCCCCAGG